GTACATTGCTACAGAGCAACTATTCAACAGGAGCCATCAGAAGCAGCAAGTAGGACCATAAGAAAATAAAGGGACCGAAAGATGCGAGAAACATGTCAATGGTGATGTCTCCAACTTGGGATGGGAAATCTTGTCTGTCTTACAATGAACACCACCAAATCGTTGGGACTTCTCTGTCTACCTAGCCTGCTGTGTATCTGGAGGGCCCAGAAATGCCATGCAGTGCACTGACGAGGAAAATCGGAAAGAGCATCAGTTCCAAGAACTGGGTGAGCCAGCAGAATGAGGAGTCAGGCTGAGACATAGCAGACACGTTACTGAGACTTCTTCACAGGGACTGAAGTGTTTGGGAGGAAAGGAGTAAAAGGGACAGCAGGTATGCAGCTTTTTGTGCAGTTGTCTGCAGCTGGGGTCTGATTTGACAGGCTACGGGGCTGGGGAAGTGCTTTTGGATTTGTGTAAGTACCACTGTGAATATTTAACTGGACAAATCTGTGGGAGGATGGTGCCTAGTTCTTTCTTGCATGGCTACTCCATGTTACCTTCTTTCTTGGATTCACAAGGGCAAGCGACAGCTGCAGATCTCCTCTCTTGGCTTGCTTGGTGCCACCTCTTTCCAGGGTTACTTTCCAGGTTTGGCATGGCCCTCATTTAACCTTGTTCTCACAACAGCATGGTTTGCTGTCCTTGCTTAGCACGGAATCATTCTGTTTGGCATGCAGATCGACCGGCTGGGAAGCTACGTGGTTACGAACAGTTTTAAATGGAAGTTAAAAATGTATAAGGAATCCAAAATAATACAGAAACAATGATAAAAATTATCACAAAAATCTGGTGCATGATGGCCAGTCCTTCTACAGCGTTAACTGTAGTCATTTCCCCTTTGGCAGGGCTGCAGCACACAGTCAGTTCTTAATAATTTAATTTTTTTTGCCACGTGGTGCATGAAAAACACACCTGGCAAATGGTAATACTGGCATAGATGTAGTGCATTGCCCATTCCACGCTGAACTGAAAACTGCAATGCAGTGAATTGTTTCTGTGGAGATACCTTAATTGATTCATTTTGATCTTTATTTTCTCCCAGTCTGCAGTATAAAAGTACAGAATCTCTAAGAAATTCATCTAATCTTTTGTTCAAGCCCACCCAGTGCTGCACTTTCATCCCATCAATTATGTGCTACTCGCTGCTCTTCTGCTTGCCAAAAAGTTGCTGCAGGTGTTAGCGTTCACTTTTATTTATCTCCCTGCTGTCCCATGGGCTGTTCTTTCTATTGCTTGTACTCCTTGCAAGTGGTGCTTATTTTAGAACTCTTGAGAACAGCTTTTGTTAGTCAAATTATTTCCCACTTCCTAGCTGTATTTGTCCTGGTACAAATATCCCATTAATCCTCTATTTCCCTCTCCCTCTGACACACACACATTCTGTGTTCTTCAGTGTTCCTTGAATTCTGCTGTCTATAATATTCCCAGTTTGAAGAGAAAGTATCTTGCAAGAAATAGCACCCAGCATTCAAACCCGAGCAGAAATATTATCAAAATCCTTGGTTCTTAAAGGGCTCTGTGGGCTGCAGTTGTTAACTCTTTCAATTGTGTTGTTTTTCATTTCAGTAACCACTACAGCAGTGTGGACAACCCAGAATAGCGATGGGGCAGGTGGACTAGATCCACAGTGGTGGAAAGACTTGAAAATTTCAGGTCCAGGAAAGAAACACAGAAGACCTACATGAACAGGGACTTTAAATTGATGTACGAGGAGGGAATAAAGAGGCTCATCTGAGAGACCTTTCTGTTTAGGAAGGAAGACAGGGGAATGATGCAGTTTCTTTTGATTTTGTTTCGTGGATTTTGGGGTGGGGGTTGTTTGTGTGTTTGTTTTCCAGAACACCTGAGAGTTATCCTGCATTCATACAGTTCAAGAAGGGAAGGGCTCAGGAAAAATATCATTTCTGTCTACCAAGTCAATACAGCACCAGATCCTAGCAGTTATAACGCCCCTGTTGCACAGTTCCACAGGGTTGCCCCCTACCTCCACAGCTGCTCATTTACAAGAGTATGGAGAGGAGAACTGGAATGCAAAGCAGAGGCATTTGTATGATCTTTCACTGTCCTACATCTCTAGCTGTTTGTAAAACAAATACAGTGACTTGTTTTGGTGTTGCAGTCAGCCTGTTTCAGTGTTGTGGTCAGCCTGCAGCCCTTTTTGTATTTAATAAAGAAACTTCTGGAGAGAAGACTCTGTGAATTCACTATTGAGCATAACATCCTTTACTGATAGCAGTGATCCTAAAGCTGTTGCCTGTCTTACTTTTTTTCCAAATGAATGGAAGTGTATTCGAAGTGGGGTGGAGGTGGGGGTGTGTCTGTGTGTGAGCATGTGTGCAGAAACAAACGTAACTCCATATCTACCAAATATTAGTCCATCAGCAGATGAACAGGACAGTCTTCCCTAAGTTCCCTTGGAGACAATATTAGTTAAATACATAAGAAATTCTGTATGAGTTAACGATAGCCTTTTTAGAAGTATGTCTTCCCAATCCTGTGATGCCATTTTAGATACAGGCTAGTGGAGAACGTACAAGATGTCACCTGCTAACAGCACTGGTTTGGTTAACAGTTTGCATTTCTGGCTGTGAGCTGACAGTTCTCTGCACTGCGCTGAATCAATGCTAACTTGGTTCTGGGTATGTTATACAGAAAGGCCACTGGCAGACTGATTGCTCTCAGTTGTTGTGGTTGATGCTAGTGTTACTGACAGGAGGAGTTTCCTTCTCAGCCACCTCATACAAGGATCACAACTTTTCAAATCCTGCAGGCTGTGTGCATAGTCTGTGTATCTGAGCAGGAAACTGCTGCCATAGGACATGAGGCTGCTGCTCAGTGGAAACATAAGCTGTCTGGGAGGGGAAAGGGGGAAGAAAACAAATACCTAACTGCTTCCACTGGGACTTGCAGTGGTGTTTGGGAATCCTGTTCTGTAACTCTGTCACAGGTAGCATGTCTCCCACCATAGTTTTACATTTGTCCTGTGCTGGGCAGGTTTCCTCATTAACCGTACTTTCCTTTGTCTTGCACCGCTTTTTTAGTCTCTGTTCTTTAGATTTTATTCTGGTGGTTGGTGCACATCTGCTTCTTGGAGAGGCGCTGTAGTGTCTGCTGTAGTGTCTGCTGTTCATACAGTCTGTATCTCGGTCTCGCCAACGTGAGGCTGTGATCCAGAACTAAAAGCAGCACTCTGGGCTGTGAAAACCAGTCAGTGCTGGAGTGGTTTCTGATGGGGGTACATGTGTGACAGCAATCGTGACAGTACCTGCTGCTTTTGGTGACAAATATACTCTGGGTACTCTTCAGCACCTCTCATCACCCCCGTGGATTGTGTTCTCGAGTCTTCTCCACAGAAACCTTTCTCACATTTCTGAAACAGAATGATAAATGCCTTCAAATGCCTTTGGGGGATGTTGGGAATTAAAACTCTTCTCCCACAGTCTCTGAAACTTCTGAAGGTCTTTGAAATCGTCCTTAAGTTACTGCTTTTTTAAAGCACTGCCGGAAGTTGTGAGGTAAGCGCCAGAAAGGCAGTGTGAGTATGAACACAGGGCAAAGCTGGCTGAAACAGCTTAGTATGTGGGAATGTATCTGTCCTTGTAACAGGACTACTGCTCTCTCCACGGCTCAAGAATTCAGTGCCCTGGTTATACTGTTGCCAGTTGTGGCCCTATACTAAAGGGTACAATCTTCTTCTGAAAGCTATGTTTTGGCTTTGGTTTTATGTGAAAAATGCACTATGTCTTCCTTAGCATTTTTGCATTTATGCTTTGAGTGATTCTTGAGAACTTAGACATCAGTTGATAGATTTAACCCAAAGCTGGTCCGCTGGGAACTTCAGCACCTTGCTCCAAGCTCATCCACTGAGAGGTAAATCATGACCACACCTGGAACAAAGAGATTTGATTAAATATGATAATTAATTGTTGCCTTTTATTGTTATTCTTTGGAACCAGAAGTTCTCCTTGGAAGAGATCGCTGTAGGAAGTTTTCTTTAAGAGGCACAAATAATTACTTTGAATTTGCTGTCTCCTATTGAGTTGAAGTAGTAGTGATCAGTGTCTTTCAACAAACAGACTGTAAGCTCTCCTGACCCAGCATCTCAGCTTTCTGGGTTCATTCCTTTAGTTTTCTTTTTTGAGCACTGAAGTGTCACCGAGATTTATTTTAGCCAGAGCCATTCCTGGGCAAGACAAGGAATTGTGTACTAATAATAACTAATTAATAACTAGTGAAGCAAGTTGTTCATCATGTAAGCAGGACAATACCAGCTCTGGGCACAAACACCTTCCTGAAGGTCAGTGTGTCCTCAGTCCTCCTGGGACAGAAGGTGGTGACAGAGCATGACAAGGACAAGCCTTGATTTTGGTAGCACTGTGGGGGGCATGTGAAGTGTCAGGCACACAGGGAGGTACTGGTTTTGTGATAGTTGCATGTTATAGCACAGAATAGGAATTAATGATTTCCAAAACCATATAGCACTGTGCCTAATCTGGTACACTGCCATAATCCCCCCAGTGGCTTCCCTCCCACCCAGACCTGTGCTATAGCTCTACTGGCAGATGGCTTGGTAGCAGAGAAAGCCATCTGGCTATGTACAGCACATAGGTAGGATCTCACAGGGGTTTTGTGTCTGGAGCAGTATATAAAAAGTATGCCGAGAGCAGCCTGATGCTGGACATTTCTGCTAGTGAGACTGTTCTACACACAGGGGCTGGGCTCACCTCAGCGGGTACAAGAAGCTGGTGTTTGCAGGATAGGCAAGCAGAGAGTTACTTAAATGCTTTCTGGGAGGTGACTTCAGAGGTTTTGCACAGTGCAGGTGAGCGGCACCACACCTGCTCTGGTTTTGGCAAACCTTAATGGTGAAAGCAAGGCAGTGGCATCAGTCTGACTCTTTGTCCTTGTGGCTGCCAGGGGGGGGA